GTAGTAGTAGTAGTAGTATACGCAGTAGTTGTAGTAGTAATAGTAGGAGCAGTCGTAGTAGTAAGAGCAGTAGTAGTAGTAGGAGAAGAAGTGGTAGTAGTTGTTGTAGTAGTAGAAGCAGTAGTAGTAGTCGCACTGGTGGTAGTAGTAGTAGTAGTAGCAGTAGTCGTAGTATTTTTTTTTTTTAAGTTATTGTTTTTCTTCATCTTCTAGTAGTGTTTGTTGTTATTAGGTAGTAGTAGTAGTAGTAGTCGTAGTAGTAGTAGTAGTAGTAGTAGTAGTAGTAGTAGTAGTAGTAGTAGTAGTAGTAGTAGTAGTAGTAGTAGTAGTAGTAGTAGTAGTAGTAGTAGTAGTAGTAGTAGTAGTAGTAGTAGTAGTAGTAGTAGTAGTAGTAGTAGTAGTAGTAGTAGTAGTAGTAGTTGTAGTAGTAGTAGTAGTAGTAGTAGTAGTAGTAGTAGTAGTAGTAGTAGTAGTAGTAGTAGTAGTAGTAGTAGTAGTAGTAGTAGTAGTAGTAGTAGTAGTAGTAGTAGTAGTAGTAGTAGTAGTAGTAGTAGTAGTAGTAGTAGTAGTAGTAGTAGTAGTAGTAGTAGTAGTAGTAGTAGTAGTAGTAGTAGTAGTAGTAGTAGTAGTAGTAGTAGTAGTAGTAGTAGTAGTAGTCGTAGTAGGAGTCGCCGTTGTAGTCGTGGGGTACTAGTAGTTGTAGTAATAGTAGTCGTCGTCGTAGTAGTAGCAGTAGTCGTAGTTGTCGTAGTCGATGTGCATCGTGCCCCATTCCCGCTACACATTTCGCAAAGCCGACGACAAGAGAATCCTCGCTGAAAAGGAACATGTCGACTTTGTATGGTTTTTGGGACATAGGATGGCCGCTCCCGCTTGGGGTTGTCCCAGACGTCTGGACGTCCGCGCGCGATGTGCGCCGCGTCCCGTTCCCGCTGCGCATTTCGCATCGTCGACGACAATACGGGCCATGCTGAGAGGACAAGCGGCGAATTTGTATTGATTTCTTACAGTTCGGATGGGAGGGCCCGGAGCGGCGTCCGCGCGCGATGTGCGCCGCGTCGAATTTCTGCCGCGCATTCCGCATCGTCCACGACAAGACAGGCCAGGCCACGTTGAGAGGACGTTTGTTTGTATATATGTATGTATATATATATGTATATATCGATAGATATATAGAAAAAACGAAAGTATTACGCTTATTATTATCATTACTTACTACAGTCGGGATGAGACTCCCCGGATGGGGTTGCCATCGACCGGACAGAGAGGGGGAACAAAATTATGCTTTAGTAAGGAAGAATGATCGGAGTGGGACTGCGAAAAGGAGTAGGAGTAGGATGAGGAGGAAGAGGAGGCGGATGAGGAGGAGGAGGAGGAGGAGAGGAGGAGGAGGAGGAGGAGGAGGAGGAGTAGCAGGAGGAGGATCTGGAGGAGCAGGCGGAGGAGGAGGAGGATATGGAGGAGGAGGAGGAGTAGGAGAGTGAGGGTGAGGATGAGGAGGAGGAGGAGGAGGAGGAGGAGGAGGAGGAGGAGGAGGAGGACGAGGAGGACGAGTAGAACGAAGAGGAGGAGGAAGAGGTGGCAGAGGATGATGTTGTGGACGAGGAAGAGGAGGAGGACCAGTGTAAACCCAAGACCCATCCGTGATGTCGGAATACTGCGAAGGATTTACGGCCGGTGCCGCAGACCCTGAAGGGGGACGACGACGACGATGACGACGGCGATGACGACGATGCTGACGTGGGTCAGAGTCTTCAGGGATTCTATTTGGGGTCTTTTCGGAGCGCTCTCGGAAGCCTCTGGGGGGCAGTTTGGGGGGCCCCTCGGAAGCATCTTGGAGGCCTTTTTGGAGCCTCTTGGGAGCCTCCTGGGGCTTCCTGGGGGTCTCTTGGGGGCCTCTTGGAGCCTCTTCGGGGCCTCTTGGGTGCCTCTTGGGGCCTCCTGGGAGCCTTTCGGGGCGGAGGGCTCGAAATGTCCGTTTGGCTCCCGTGTGTGGGCACCATCTTGGAGCCCTCTTGGGGGCCTTTTGGGCCGCCTTGGAGGCGTCTTGGGCCGTCTTCGGGCCCTCTTTGGCCCCTTTCGGGGCCCTCTGGGAGGCCTCTTGGCGCCATCGTTGGAGCCTCTTGAGCCGTTTTGGAGTGTCGGGAAGCTGAAAAGGCGAGAACGCCCAATTTCTTGAAAAACCTAAGGGAAAACCGTGATTTTTCCCTCTTTGGTATCTCTTGGGGGTACTCTTCGAGGCCTCTCGGGGCGTCTTCAGCCGGGGCCGTCTGGAGGCCGTAAAGATGTCTTGGACCGATCGTTCGGCGATTCGGGGTCCTATTGGACCGTCTTGGGGGCCTCTTGGCTCGTCTTGGGACGTTTTTGGGCCCCAGGCCCCCCCAGGGGTGGTGGTATTCTGACCCGGTACCCCTCCCCGCTACTCCCCCCCCCTACCCCTCCCCCGTGACCACACTCCCCCCTCTTGGCGAGGAAGGGATCAAAGGGAAGAGGCTTCCCTTCGACTCAACTACGACGTTGCTCAATTTCGCTGTGGCTGAGTTGCTTGAGGGGAAGGGCGCGATGGAAAAGGGGGGAGATGCGACGGGCGCAGGGAAAGGGGAGGGGCGGCGCCGACGAGGACGACGACGACGACGACGACGACGACGACGAACGGCGGCGACGAGGACGACGACGACGACGACCACGACCACGACCGCGACGACGACGAGTCAAACGGAACAGCGCCTTCCACACGCCGACAGGGTCGGCGGATTTCTTCCTTTCAAGCTCCCTTTTTTCACAGGCCCCTACAAGGGTTCATTGCCACTGAAGGAAGTGCCCCGTTGGGAGATAACCGTTGGAAGATCCTGAAGTGCGCCAAAACACCATTCCCATGACTTCAACGTCACGAGTCAATCGGGCTGTTGCGTCTTGACGGTCCTGAATCGTGCCAGAACACCATGCCTGGGACTTCAACACCGCGATTCAAGCTAGTTATTGCGCACTGACAATCCTGAATTGCTCCACGACGCCATTTCTGGTACGTTATATACATGAGAACTCGTGAAACTTTAGTTTTTGGTTCAAACGACTGTGTGCGGCGCTGCGGCGAGAACCACATCGTGAGACGGAGCCGCCATCAATATGTGAAGCTCTTGCAACTCGTTTGCACGAATGTGCGCGGCGCTAAGACGATAGCCACAACGAGCCGCCCTCAATCCGTGAAGCTCTTGCAAAGTTTTAGAGAGAATGTGCGCGGCGCGACGGCGAGAGCCACATCTTGAAAACCACCTGTTCCCAATCGCGACGGCGAGAGCCAAATTTTGAAAACCACCTGTCCCCAATCCGTGGAGCTGCGCGGTGCTAAGGCGAGAGCCACATTTTGGAAGCATCCCGCATTCTGTCTGCGAGGCAGCGAGTTTTTATGCTTGAGGCTCATACATGGCAAGGAAGTCTCAGGCGAAACGCCCAGCCCACCTTTCCGACTGGCCTCGGGATGCGACAGGCAGGAGTTCTTCATAAGAAAAAGGAATGGAGGAGGAGGAGGAGGAGGAGGAGGAGGAGAAGGAGAAGGAGGAGCAGGAGAAGGAGGATGAGGAGGAACAGGAGGAACAGGATGAGGAGGAGGAGTCGGAGGAGGAGGATGATGATGATGATGAGGAGGAGGAGCTGGAGGAGGAGGAGGAGGAGGAGGATGAGGAGGAGGAGGAGGAGGAGCAGGAAAAGGAGGGGGAGGGGGATGGGGGAGCGGGTGGGAGAGTGATGTGGCGAGGAAGTGGAGGAGGATGAGGATGAGGAGGAGGAGGAGGAGGATGAGGAGGAGGAGGAGGAGGAAGAGGAGGAGAACGAGTTCAGACGGCATACGTATGGATTTGCTTGCATGGGTGCCAATCCGTACTGGTCCCTCATCCCCCTGGTGCATTGTGACCCGTACGGTCCTCCTATCGATCTCCTCCATCCTTACCCTCGGTCCTTCTGCTCCTCCCTGTTGCTCTTGCTACTGGTGCTGATCATTTGTTATTCGCTTCTGCTCATCCCTGCTGCCTCCTCTTGCCTCGTCTTCCTCTTTCCTCCTGCTTTCCTGACTTGTCAATATGGTTGGTCATCCTTATCCCGCTGCGTTGTTGGGGTGTGTCAGGACATCACGAGCTTGCGCACGTCCCTGAACGATAGCAGGACTGCCGCTGAGGATCTGTTGTGCCTGATCGAGACATCTCAAGCCGCAGTTTTTGGGATTAGCGCTGACGGCCACGTCACAGAGTGGAACAAAATGGCTGCCGAATTGACGCAGTTCACCACCGAAGAGGCTGTGGGGAAGCTATTGGTCGACCAAATCATTCCACAGGAGTTCAAGAAGGAGGTTCAGGCCATGTTGACTGCAGCAAGCGAGGGCTCCGAGATCGTCAACTTCGAATTGCCGCTTATTAAGAAAGATGAGACGCGGATCACTATTCTGCTCAATGTGAGGGCCCGTCGCAATGCAAATGGGGATTTTCGAGGTTTGATCGGGGTGGGCAAGGACATCACCGAGTTGCGAAAGACCCTTACAGAAAGCAAGGCGATCGCAGAAGATCTCTCCCGGCTGATAGAGAGCGCGAATGCTCCCATCTTTGGTATCAACGTCGACGGGCGCGTCACCGAGTGGAATGCGAAGGCAGCCGAGCTGACCAAGTTCCCCAAGGAGGAGACGCTGGGCCGGCTGCTCGTCGCTGACTTCATCTCGGTAGAGCACCAGGAGCGCGTGCAGGCCGTGCTGACATCGGCATGCAAGGGCCTGGAGGTGACGAACTTCGAGCTGCCTCTCCTGACCAAAGACGGGCAGCATATCGATATCCTGCTCAACACCACCACTCGGCGTGATGCGGATGGGTTAGTAACAGGAGTTGTAGGGGTCGGCCAAGATAACACAGCGATGCGGAAGGCTCTGAATGAGAGCAAGACGGTCGCAGAAGATCTGTCGCGACTGATCGAGACTGCGAATGCCCCCATCTTCGGGGTCAGTGTCAATGGTCGTGTGACTGAGTGGAATACGAAGGCGGCTGAGTTGACGAAGTATTCAAAGGAGGAGACGATGGGACAGCAGCTGGTTGAGCGGTTCATCACACCTGATTATCAGCAAGAGGTGCAAGCTGTGCTGACTGCAGCATGCCAGGGATCGGAGACAGCGAATTTCGAGTTCCCACTGATGACAAAGGATGGGCATAGAATTGATATTCTGCTGAACGCCACTACCCGTCGGGATGCAAACGGGACAGTCACAGGTGTGGTCGGGGTGGGTCAGGACATCACCGAAATTCACAAGGCTTTGACAGAGAGTCAGACGGTTGCAGAAGACCTCTCCCGGTTGATCGAGACAGCAAACGCTCCCATTTTCGGAGTGAGTGTCGATGGCCACGTGACCGAGTGGAATGCGAAAGCAGCTGAGCTGACAAAGTTCCCCAAGGAGGAAACGATGGGGCAGTTGCTCGTGGACCAGTTCATCACTCCGGACTACCAGCAAGAGGTGCAGGCCCCCTGGGCCTCCACAATCCTCCAGCGAAGGCATCTAGACACCACCACCGTGCCAGGCCAGGGCCATCCTGGGCCCCAGGATGGTGTATAGACCCTCCTGGCCTCGGCCAGGATGGCATGTGCACCATCCCAGGGCCCAGGATGGCCCTGGCCTGCCACGGTGGTGGTGTATAGATGCTTTCTGCGTAAATCCCCGCTGGGCCATCAACTAAACTTGTCCGATTTGGGGCTGGTTCGAAGAGCAGCAGGTAGCACGAGCATACGCTTTCTGGGCTCGGCGCGGATTTCTTGGGTTGGCGCTGTACCCCGCCTGGCGTGGGGAGCGGGTGGCAGCGCCGACCCATGGAGTCCGCGCAGACCTCCGGCAGTGTATGGAAGACGCTTCGCGTTCACCGTCCGTCCATTCCAGTCCTCGCCAGAATAGACGAGGACGGCAGTATTCCGAAGATGGTGAAGTGCCCCGCACAGGCGTTTTTTGTGCATTCCTTCTGCGTTCCGCCTCTTCTCCATCCCATCGCCAATTGGGTTCAGGTGTGCCGCGTGACCTATTGATGCCGATGCCCAACCAGAGCCGACGAGGACGGCGGCTCCTGGCCTGGGAGCGCTGCCGCAGCGAGCGCCTGGCACTCCTCGCGGCAGGTGGGAGCTCCCCTCTTCAGGGCCGCCGCCTCCTCGCCACGACGTGGCTCGCGCTGCTCGGCGCCCGAGCCGACCGCCCTCCGCAGCAAGCGTGCAACAGCCAGCGAGATCTGGGCAAAAATCAAACGGGAGCCGACGCGGGCCCCGCCCGATGTGGTCCCGAGCCGGGGCCCGCAGGGGCCCGCGGCTGCCTGCGGGGAGCTCTGTGGAAGCTGCGAGCACCCGTCGCGTCGGGCCGCGGCCTCGGCCCAGGACGGGCCAAGATCGGCGACCACAGAGGGGAGGGTTACGCCGGGGTGTGGTTGGCGATCGGCACCGTTGGGGCCGGGGGGGCACGACGCCGTCCTCGTCGGGCCTCCTCGGGGCGCGGGAGAACTCTGTCGAAGTCCCCGCGCGCCCCCTGGGGTGCCCCCCAGCATGTTCCCCGGGGTGCCGGTTGCAAGCCACACCCTTTGCAAGCCGCACCCTCTGGAGTCGCCGACAAGAGGCGCCCTCAAAGGCCGAAGAGGGTTTTGCACAAGGCCCAATAAGCCCAACAAGGGCCCGAGGCTGCCCAGGCGGGCCTCTGGACGGCTCAAGCGCGAGCATCCCCATGGTGGGCCCGAGCCCCTATCGCATTTCCATCGGGACTGGGCCCAGATCTGGGCTGGTTTGGGCTCCGTTCTGGGGCTCCAGTTGGGCCTACAAGCGTCCAGAAGTGATGCCAGAGCGCGCCCCAAATCGGCGACCAAAATTACATGTCGTCAGATGGCCCAGGCGAGCCCGAGTGTCAGCCAGAAGAGCCGTCCGGTCGACCCCGGGCGAGGCAAGCAACGTCAAAAACCTACGGGTTTCCAGTTGGGGCGCGCAGCTGGGCCCCAGAGGCGCTCTGGAGGGCCCCAGGAGTTTATTTTCGAGGCCCACAAGGAGCCCCGAAGGGGCCCGACAGTGAGCCCAAGTGCGCCCCGTAAGCGTCGCCTGAAGGATCGAAAAATCGAGCTCGTCTTGGAATCCGTCTTGAAATCTTCTTGAGGCTCGACAATGGTGGAGGCCGCAGCCGGGCGGCGGAATGGCGGAGGCCTTTGGGGGGAAAACGGGGGTCGAAAGCCCTGTAAGGATCTCTCGCGGTTAAATCGCACACGCCCTTTTGCCCAGAGGGCGGGCGGATTCAAGAGGCTAGCGCCATTCTGCCGCCCCCCAGACGAAGTAAGGAGTTTTGGGAAGATGCTAGGCCGAGGTAGGGGCTTGAATCTCTTGCATGATGACAGGTTTCACCCATTTTGGCCGAATGGTACTTTGGGCCTCTCACGGCTTGCGCGGGTGACTCCGCAGGGTCTGGGCTGGAGGAGGGGGGTCGCAGCGTGAAGAGTGAGAAATCAGGGGACCACGAATGAGGACGGCATGGGGATATGAGAGGGGCAGGAGGAGGATGAGGAGGATGAGGAGGATCAGGACGAGAAGGACGACAGGACGACGACGGCGGCGGCGGCGACGATGACGACGCACGCACGAGCTGTCCACCAGAAGAGGGAAGATGTCCACTTGTAAGGCCTTCAGCAGTCTCTTTGGGACCTTTTGGGGCTTTTGGACCTGTTTGGGATTTCTCGGGGCCTTTGAGGGGGTGCTTTGACTTGTCTTGGCGGTCTTGGGGGTCCTAGGGCAGCGGGCTCAAAATGTCAATTCGACTTTTACCTCTCTTGAGCCCCCTTGGGGCTCTGTCGGGGTCCTTTTAGGCCGTCTTGGGCGCCACTTGGGCAGTCTTGGGGGCTTTGTGGACTGCTTTGGAGTGATTTTGCGGGCCTCTTTAGCCGTCTTGGATGCTGTTAAGATCAAAAAGGGAACTATGCAACACATGGATATTTCCCCAAGGGATTGGGACGGTTTTGGCCTCTGGAGACCCTCTTGGGGGTCCTTTTGGAGCCCTCTTGGGGGCGTCCTCGAAGCCTCGTGGGGCATGTATATTTGGAGGCTCCAGAGGCTCTGTGGATGCCTTGACGAGCTCTGGCCCCATGGGCCGTCTGCGCGCGGTGGTAGGAGACGCGGGACCAGGAAAACGGGTATGGGGGGGGAAGGGTCCAGGATGGATGGCAAGGGTGTCCGCAGTCCGGACGGACGGGGGAGGGGAACAGCCAATCATCTCACACGCCTTTGCACCCCCGGCAAGCGGGGGTCGGCGGATTTAACGCTTCGCTCCATTCCGCCAGCCCACATTTCATCGCCATTGGTGCGTGGTCGTGTTCTCGTGGCCAGCGGGAGCTGTCTGGGAGACAGGAACTTGAAAAGTAGTTCAGGGAAGATTTGGTCGAGCATGGTTTGTTGGAGCATCCTGGGGGGTTCTGGTGGGGCTCTTGGACCGTCTCAGGGTCCTCTCGGGGTGCTGTGAGGCGCGGTTGGGTGTGTAGCGTGGAGGCGTCTGGATTTCTCTTAGGATGCTTTGGGGCGAGCTGGGGTGAGGGTTCGGTCACTTCGGGAGGCGTCTCGAAGCCCTGTTGGCGGAATTGTTGAGGACTCCCGAGGTCTCGTGGGACTGTCTTTTGGGTACCCAGGAGCCTCTTGGAGGCCTCTTGGGAGCCTTCTGGCGGGTTCGGGGACCATGCTTCGGGGAAGGCTCGGTATGTCAGTTCTGGCGGCGAAATCCGAGCCCTACCCTCGCCGATCAACGATTCAGGCAACTTCAAGGGGGTTTGGTGTGGCAGGGTTCAGACTTCGTCGAACACGTGGCGAAATCCGAACCCTACCCCCGCCTCCCATCGGTTCAGGAGAATCGATGGTTGGTGAGGGTTGGGTTCGAATGTCGCCACCTAGGTTTCGGGCCCTCTTGGGCCATCTTGAGCTGATCGACGCCCGAAAAGGCAGGAACTTGAGAATCGCTTAAACGCCAAAGGATTGTCAATGGGGCCTTCGCAGGTGTCCTCTTGGTTGTTGGAGCGCTCTTGGGGGCCTCTTGGGCTGCTTGAGGCGACATTGGGCTGTCTGGGAGCGGTCTTGGAATATCTTGGGACCCTCTGAAGCCTTTCTGAGGCCATTTACGGTCGTCTTGGAGCGTAGTTGGACCGTCTTGGCATCCTCTTGGGCTGGTTCTTGGAGTGCCTTGCTGACTTGGGGCGATCTCGGTGGCCTCTTGGAGGCCTCCTGCGTCAGTTTGGTGCCCTCCAGGGCTGTCTTGGAGCCATCTCGAGTGCCTCTTGGGCCGTCTTGACCTGACGGTTGCCCGAAAAGACAAGAGCATGATAATCGCTGAATTAGCTAAGTAACAACAGTTTGTTTTCTCGCTTTGGGTCTTTTCATGTGTCCTCTGAGAGCGCTCTTGGGGGGCTCTGGCAGGCCTTCTGCGTCAGTTTGGTGTCCTCTTGAGCTGTCTTGGAGCCATCTCGAATGCCTCTTGGGCCGTCTTGAGCTGACGGTTGCCCGAACAGACAAGACTTTGCTAATCGCTAAACTATATAAGCAGCAACTGTTTGTATTCCGTCTTGGGGTCTTTCCATATGTCCTCTTAGAGCGCTCTTGGGAGCCTCTTGGGCTGTAGGCCTCCTGCGTCAGTTTGGTGTCCTCTTGGGCTGTCTTGGAGCAATCTCGAATGCCCCTTGGGCCGTCTTAAGCTGACGGTTGCCCGAAAAGACAAGAACGTGAGAATCCCTAAACTATCTAAGCAGCAACAGTTTGTGTTCCGCCTCGGGGTCTTTTCATGTGTCCTCTTAGAGCGCTCTTGGGGGTCTCTTGGGCTGCTTGAGGCGATATTCTGCTGTCTTGGAGGGACCCCGCGAAGTTTCCCTGAACTCATTTTCGGCCGTCTTGGAGCGCAATCTGACCGTGTTGGCATCCTCTGAGGCTGTATCCTACAGTGCCGTTTTTAATACCCGCGTGCGGATCAAGTATTACAAGCAACGATGAGTTCATGCATACATCTATTCGTAAATTCATCATGCATAACGAATCCGACATTTTTAGAGATCCCATATATTAAAAACTGCCCTGTAGAGCGCCCCGCGTCTCCCGAAGCGCCTTTGGGAGCCCCGAAGGCCATGCCAAGGTTTCCGGGAACCTCTCACGGCATTTTTGTGTTCGGGGCCCCCGAGCGGCCGCCTGGGCGCGCGCAGTAAGAAAATGCTCTGGAGCTCTCTTGCCGGAGATCTGCGCACGCCTCGAGGACGAGGAGGAGAGTCTGGACGCCCGAAATGGGCACGGACAAAAAAATTGTACAATGCCCAACAGCAGTTCTTCTTCATTTTGAACAGGATTTGCTGTCCGCGCCGCCGCGGCCTGTGTCCATTCGAGACAGAAGGCCGCCTGCCCAACAGCGGCCGCTGTTGGTTTGGGACAACATCTGTTGTCGGGCATCGTGCCCATTCTTTCCGTGCCCATTTCGGGCGTCCAAAGAGA